ATCTGGTTTTGTTAAAAGAAATGGGAAAACAGATCCACTTATATCCAAATCATACCAATGAGTGAAAACTAAAATAAACTAATAAAAATGTTCTCTCTCCATGGTGCAAGACTATTACGTTAATTACAGATTGAATAACTGCATCTGGCTGAAGTTCCATTATACTTAAACTATTTAAGTGTGTCTACAAAGTCTTGAATTAATCTTGCTAAGTTCAATGGAGCCACCTCTCCCATATGTTTTTCAATAATCTTACTACTATCAAATACAGAGCATTAAATTCCTATTCTATATTCAAAACAATTTGATATTAATTAAAATCTGAATGCTTTATTCCAGGATAGTTAGATCTTAGAACTGTGGAAGAAACACCTTCTAGATATGAACAGATACTCATCATCTTCTTAATCAGTCCTGTACAATTTGACAATGGGGGAGATAAGATTCACTGCCATCACTGCAACTGAGGTCCAGTGAGCAAGTTTTAGTAAAAGATAAGTCACTGTACCACAGAAGACAAATATTCAGTCTTTTTTCAATTTCTTAGGATTGACTTTGAAATATAAATAACATATAAGTATCAAGGCTCTTGGTATGCCCAAAGAAGGAGATTCCAATAAATTATACTTATACGTATGGTATTAGAGCTACCAGAATGGAAATCCTTGTACTACAGTTCAGAAAGCAAATTTTAATTCCAATGCGAGGATATTAATGTATAATAATACAATAGACAATACAAAGAAAGTTAAATATGCAAGCTGAAGTGAGATGAACGGAAACCAATTTGATTTATTTTCAAGGAATATCATTAGAACGTGAATTGAAAAATATCAACAAGAGGTGCTATCCCTAACCTTGAGTCTTTACCATTCTCCATCGCTCAGTTATACAAGCTCAGAGGAACAGAACAAAACATTAAAATCAGTAAAGGATTTTGTAGGGTGATGGCTACCTTCTTTTTCAAGCAACAGTGTATCTATATAGAGAATACAATGTCTTTGCAGAGATAAGTTCTAATGAAAGATTTGGCAGGAAAAACTATGTTTCGATTTGCATGACACTGTAAATCTGATTAAAACTTATTAATGAACTAGCAACTAGCAATTCCCATGAGTATCAGTGGTTAATAAAAAAGACAAACTATGTTTTGCTTTGTATTTTTCTGTAGTTAGTTCTAGGACACGGGTGTCAAACTTAAGGCCCGGGGGCCAGATCCAGCCTGTGGGGTGGTTAGATCTGGCCCGTGGGGCCACCCTGTAAACAGTGAAGGACCAGCCTGCAGTGCCTCTGCCAGCAAAAATGGAGCTCGGGCAGCCCGCCTCGGGAAAAGAATTGCAGGAGGCCGTTGCAGCTGAAAACGGAGCTCAGGAGCCTGTTTTAGCTGGAAGAATGTTCGGGCCACCACAGGCGCCCCTGACACGAGTGACATCGAGCTGGCCATGCCCACCCTGGCCCCACAAGGTCAAACACAACCCTGATGCAGTCCTCAAATGAAATCAAGTTTGATATTTTTCTAGGGGGAACAAAACTGAATCCCTACTTGGAGAGTACACTAACTTAACCACAAAGTTTGTAGTTTTCTTATGGTCTCAGATTGCAGAGATAATTAGTTTGTACCCCCCTACTACTTATTTATTGATAAACCTTAATACAATTTCTGTGTCATCGCAGACTGACTTTATGCAAGCAACAAGATTCAGCTTGGATAAAACCATATCTGGTTTATAAGAGAGAAAATGTGATCTAATGGAAAAAGCCATATTCTGACAGCATTTCATTGCAAACATTTCAACACATTTCACAGTGTATTTTAGATGCCATGCTCCATTTTCCAATTCCTCTTGCAATGCTTGTGAGAATGTGTATCTATCTCCAATTGCTACATGGGAAACTTTGCTATGGAATTCAGAAATAAGACTAAAATTAATTACCAATAAAGAAGAACGGCACGGCCAACTTGCCATGGCCAGCTTGCTGCGACACAAGACTTACACTGATATCAAAGAAATGGTGGAATAGAATCATTTAAAAAAGAATGCAAAAGGAAGGACAAAATGAAATGTGAATGACAAAAATTAAAATAATTTTGTAATTATTTTAAATATTTAAATGGAATTGTTGAATTGGCCTGTAGCGAGTTGTCCTTTGGTCAGCTGGTCTTGAAGAACTGTCCCATGGTGAGTTGGCCATGGTGAGTTGGCCACAGTGAGTTCTCCAATTCCGGTCCTTGGTACTCCCTAAAGACCTTCCAATACTAAGACTAAGTAACATCATCAGTTCGAGTAATGGTTAATGAAATGACTATAAAAAAACCTCCAAGCTCAGAGTGTACCATGGATCCCCCCCCCCCCGCAAAAAAAATAATGTGATTGTAAGAGATAATTTTAAACAATGGAGCAATTATTTAATGAAAAATGTCACTGCCTTCAATAAGGTTACTCTTTTATGTATTGGATCACTGACTTCTTTGCATTTTCACAGACATATTTTTTCTGCAATAGGCTGCTACAGCATATGATAAAAACTTGACATTATTAGGAATTTATGAATTTCAAATACCTGGAGAAAAAAACTCTACCTCCTCTATTCAGTTTCATGGGTAAAACATTTTTGTATATCAGTGGTCCCATGTTTTCTTTCAAATCATTTCAAGGACACATATTTCCAAAATATGTAGGCTTGCATTAAAAAATCTACTTGGTTGCAAAAAAACATCCCACAGACAAACTCTCTTCGTCGCAGGAATAAATTATGTTTAAAAGCTAACTTTAGTTCTCTTACTAAAGTTGCCAAATGCTAAATTAACAAAATAATGAAACTGAACCACAAATAATTATTTCTTTCCACATGTTCTGAGTAGTTAATAGCTGTAGTAGAACTATCCACAACAGAACAAGTCACAGTTCTAAATCACCCCACAGTATTCTGGGCAGTATACAAATCCACTAAAAGTATATATTTAAAAGAAGTGAGCATAAAATCTTTTCATGTTTAAAATTGCAAGTACTATTCAACAAATGAAGGGATGTGGAAATGGCAAACATCAAACATATGGAAGAGCTGGAATACTGACCACAATTCCTTTTTTTTTTACTTAATGAATATTGATAAAATTACAGGAGGGCCTTGCACAGCGTGGACCAGATTGGAGAGAAAGGCTCTGCCTCTATGGGTTTTAGCCAAGAATTGCACTTAAAAATTCCTATAACCGTGATGACGAACCTATGGCACACATGCCCAAAGTGGCACACGACACCATGTTGCCTGGCACGCATGGCCTTGCCTGTTTGTCTTCTGGGTTTCTGTCGTACATGCATATACAACAATCAGCTATCGTTCATACATGCGGCAATACCGAAAACCGGTGAGCACATGCACGCTGGCAAACTGTTGGGTACGCATGCATGCCAGAATCCAGAAGTGCAGCTTTTCTGGAAGGCGATCCCGCCGAAAACCAGCCTGTGCATGCACACCAGCCCGTTGATCATTGGGTGCGTACCCAATGATCAACTGGCTAGAACCCAGTTTTTCTGGAGTGTGGCCCCGAGCACGCACACATTTCTGTGCAACCTTTTCGACACTCGATGCCAAAAAAGATTTTCCATCACTGTCCTATAAATACAGGTAGTCCTCAACGTATGACCACAATTGAGGCCAAAATTTCTGTTGCTAAGTGAGACATTTGTTGTGACTTTTGATCCATTTTACCACCTTTCCTGTTGTTCAGTGAATCACTGCAGTTGTTCAGTTAGTAACACGGTTGTTAAGTAAATCTGGTTTCTCCATAAGTATGAACCAGTGGCCAAGCATCAGAATTTTGATCACATGATCATGGAGATGCGTCAAAGGTGGTAACTGTGAGAAACAGTCATAAGTCACGTTTTTCAGTGCCGCTTGAATTGTCACTAAATGAACTTATTATAATTTGAGGACTACCTGTAGCTGAGATCAGTGTGGAATTTTAAGGTGCACATAGTCCTCGACTTGCAGCAGTTCACTTAGTGACCCTTCAAAGTTACAATGGCACTGGAAAAAGGGACTTAAGACCATTTCCCACACTGACTACCATTGCAGCATCCCTACGGTCACGTGATCGAAATTCAGACACTTGGTAACCGACTCATATTTATGACCGGTTGTGTTGTCCTAGGGAGTCACGTGATCCCCTTTTGCGACCTCCTGAAATGCAAAGTCAATGGGGAAGCCAGACTCACTTAACAACCGGGTTACTAACTTACCAAGTGCAGTGATTCACTTCACCACTGTAGTAAGCAAAGTCGTAAAACGGGGCAACCCCCCCCCCCCACTTAACCAATGTGGTTAACTTCACTTAACAGTGGGCTCACTTGTGGTCGTACGTCGAGGACTACCTATACTTATTTCTAGTCTGGTTATGCATCTTCCGATAATATCCTTCTCTGTTTGCTTTGCTATGCAATTTTACAGGGGGGGAAAAGAGAGCGGACCGTCAACACTAATCGCAATGGGGGAAAGGGCCGTACGCTCGATTCTACCGCCTCCCCAGAGAGCCTTCCAAAAACCGGACGGCCCAAACCGTCAGGCTTTCAGGCGGCCAGGGGTCGTCGAACACGGAACCAGCGGCGGCAGCGGCATCTTGGCGCGAACTATCCTGACGGGCTCGCTCCTGAAGCAAGCCTCGACACGAGCGCCAAAGATGAAAGCAGGCTCGACGCCTGGCAACGCCGCTCGCCCTCGCCGCCTCGATTACGCACGGAACCCGCAGCGCCGGCCTAGCAATACACAAACACACACACGCGCGCACACAGCATGTTCTTCCCGCCCGGCAAAGGCACTCACAACACCAGCGCTGGATGCCTCTTCTCCGCCACCCACCCAAAAAAGCCCGCGTCCTCTCCGCAAACCGCCACTCTTACCTGGTCCCATACACTCGAAGCCCCGACCGCCTGTCCCTCGCCAACATCCGAGAACAGCTAACGGGCACCTCGCCCTCAGACCTGCCCGCGTTCCCCCCTCACCTGCGAAAGAGACCGAGCGGCCGCGGCGCTTGGGAAGCGAGTTCGGCGCGGAGCGCAAGAACTCGTCCGCGCTCTCTCGGGAGTGGCGGAGACAGCAGCTCGAGACTGGCCCTGAACCAGGCCCCCCCCCTCTCTCTCTCTGGAAGGGCTGAGCTGAGGAAACCGTGCCGCCGCCTCCCTCCTGCTCCTGCTCCTCCTCTTCACGAAACCGCAGCCTCCATGATGAGGCCGCCCACGAGACGCGCTGCGGCGTGAACCGGGGACGGCTGCCCGCCTGGCACCGCTAGGGAGAGGTCGCGTTCTGCGCTTCGTCCCTGGCGCGTGAGTTCTCCCCTCCCCGCTCTCCGCGCGGTCTTCGCCCCGCGGGCGTCCAAAGTGGTTTAGTGAGACTTGTGAACGCCAGAAGGATTGTAGCAATCGCGACGGGAAGGGGGAGAATGAACGACGAAGCTTCGTGTTGGCGAAAATCACGGCCCGCCGCCTTTGGGATTTTCGGGCAGAGCATAACCCTGCGTGAGTGCGGTTTGCCTATTGAGCCCAACGGAAGGATATTCGGATCCTCCTCCGAATAAACACACAGCTTTCCTCGTAGAGTACAGAATGGAAGCAGGCTGACCAAAAGGGGGAATGTAAAAAGCCAAATCTAATATGAAAGTGGTGGTTGAAAATCAGACTTCTCAGAAGCATCCCTGCATTGTCCACTTTTCATTACCTTCAATGTCAATGGTCGCGTAGATGGAAGATATTAATTAAGGAGAATATTTGTAGTTCAAGGGTTAACAAGAGGAGTCCTTGGAGCTCTCTGAGCTTGCTTGTTTTCTTGCAAAGATTTCATTACCCAAACTAGATAATATCCTCAGTGCTGGCTAACACTGATGATGTTACCTAATTTGGGTAATGAAACGTCTGCAAGAAAGCAAGCTCAGAGAGCACCAAGGACTCCTCAAATGGAAGATAAATAGCAAATGGCTAATTACTCCATATATGCTTGAAAATGCATATGCTTGAAAATGAAGGTCAAGGATGCATCTTGCAAAGACATAAAAAATGCAAAACTTTTGACCCTTCTTATCTTTTTAGTGTGAAGGTGTGCATTTCACATTTTTATTAACTGGAAATGAAAAGCAAGTCAAATCAATCACCAAGCATTTTGCAGAGATATATAGGTGAAGGTAAAGGTTCCACTCGCACATATGTGCTAGTCGTTCCCAACTCTAGGGGGCAGTGTTAATCTTTGTTTCAAAGCCGAAAAGCCAGCACTGATCAAATACATCTCTGTGGTCATGTGGCTGGCATGACTAAATGCTGAAGGCACACGGAACACTGTTATCTTCCCACCAAAGGTGGTTCCTATTTTCTACTTGCATTTTTACATGCTTTCGAATTGCTAGGTTGGCAGAAGCTGGGACAAGTAACAGGAGCTCACTCCGTTATGTGGCACTAGGGATTCAAACTGCCAAACTGTGGACCTTTCTAATCGACAACTTAAATTCTTAGCCACTGAGCCACCGCATCCCTGCAGAGATATATACTGAATAATAAATATCAATATCATTACAATGCATAATTCTTATTTTGCTCCTTCTCTGCCCGCTCCTATTTTAGTTGCTTTTTAAGACAACGAAAAGATATTTTCCTTGAAACAACAGTAATCATTTATTTCTCAAGGGAGAAATAAAATTCAATTTAGAGGTATTCAGAGCTACCCCTTCAGCAGATGGTGCTTCCCAACCTTTGTTGCTTTGAATGACAAACAGAAATTGGTGAATTAAGTCCAGCTGTTTATTCTTGCTCTGCCAGTCCTACAATGGTTGCAGTAGTAGGCCATCAATTGAGAGAAAAACAAATCCTATAAGGCAGAGGAAAGCAGCTGATCCTGAGCTCAAGGAAAGGATGCACAAATTTATTATTGTAATTCACCATTTTTACAACCTAACATTTGCTGCTTACACTTTGAACTGCAAAATCCCCTGGGTTTACCCCGTTTCCATAATAAGCAATTGATTAATTCATTGATGAATTCCTTTGTAACATTGGACAAAATTATTCTGGACACTGACTGTGGTGGAATGGAGAAGGTTTCTTAGTAACCAGATTTCTGCAAATCCATATCTCTCTTCAGTTGCCACATCAAATGCAAAAATGGGTATGACTACATATCAGAATTTGGGAAGGGGGAATTTCCGGGGGTGGGGGGGACTTGATATACTTAATAGTTTAAACACAATACCACCTTCCTTATGACAAAATCTTAAATCCATTATTCTTAATTTTATCCCATTTTATAAATCTCTGAAAGCACTGCATATGGTATTATATAGAACATAGAATCATATGTCTGGAAGGGACCTCGGGGTTCTTCTAGCCCCTCCCCCCGATCAAGGCAGGAGACCTTACATCATCCTGGTGAAATGGTTTGTCCAGTCTATTTTTGAAAACTTCCAGTGATGGAGCACTCACTATTCTGGGAGGTAAGCTATTCCATTGGTTAATTGTTCTCACTATCAGAAAATTTATCCCGAATTCTAGGTTGAATCTGCAAAAGCTTCTACCAACGGTGGGTTGCTCTCGGTTCAGCCGAAACAGTAGTGGAATTCGGACCTGAGTTGCAGAACCGGCAGTGACCCAGGCATGCCATGCCCCCGAACTGGTTCCCTCGCTGCTGCTGGGCCACCAACATTTTGGATTTTAGTGACTGCATGTGCGCAATTCACTATAAATTGTTCTGCGCATGCGCAAAGGACATTTACATTGAATAGTGCATGCACGCGGATTGCGAACCAGTAGTAAAACTGGCAGCCACCCACCCCTGGCTTCTACCCTATACTTCTTCTGCTCTCTGATGCTTGTGCTCCCTTCTTGTCTGTGACAGCCCCCCCAAGTACTGGAAGTGAGTTATTATGTCCCTTCTAATCCTTCTCTTCTAACTCCCTCAACTATTCATCATCTAATTTAGCCTCCAGCCCCTTTATCATCTTTGTTCTCATTTCTGCACATCTTTGTTCTCATTTCTAGGATGTCAGCATCTTTTTTGCATTATGGTGACCAGAAATGTGTGCAATATTCCAAGTGTGCCTTCACTAATGCAATATAAAGAGGTAGTATCACTTTTTGTGATCTTGATGCCATGTTTCTGTTGATGCAGCCCAAGGGCATTTTTGACAGCTACAACACATTGTTGCCTAATAACTTGAAGTGATGGTCTACTAGATTTTTTCACATTTATTAGTGTTGAGCCAGGTACCACCTAATTGGTATCTATGCATTTGGTTTTTCCTGCCTCAACGCAGGGCCATATTTTTCTTATCACTGAACTACATCTTGTTGGATAGGATCTGATGCTTAAGTCTATCAAGATCCTTCTGAATATTTCATCTATCTTCTAAAGGCTTAGCAATTCCCCACTCCCCCGCAGCTTGATGTCATTGGTAAATTTGAATTCCCCTTCTATCCTCTCATACAGATCATTTATGAAGATGTTAAAGAGAAGTCGACCCAAGACAGAACCTTGAGGTACCCCACTGTATGCTTCTCTCCCTATAGCCAGAGGTGGGTTGCTCCCGGTTCGGCGTGACCCAGACTGGCCATGCCCCCAAACTGGTTCCCCGGTCTCTTCTGCCGTTGCCGGTATGTTTCTATGCATGCGAAGAACAATTTGCAGTCAAATGTGCATGTGCAAGCAAAGCGTGCATGGAGCGAACTGGTACCAACTGGTACAGGAATCCACCCCCGTCTATAGCTGTAGTTCCCATAAGGACTACATGCTGAGCGAGGTTGGTCAGCCACTTGCGAATCCATCTGGTGGGGATATTGTCTATTCCACATTGTTCTATCTAATCAAGAAGTAGGTTATGGTCTACTTTGTCAAATACCTTACTGAAGTCCAGGTATACTATATCCACAACATTTCGGTGGTCCACTAATTCTGTCACTTTATCAAAGAAGGGTATAAAATGGGTGTGGCATGATCTGTTTTAACAAACTCATGCTGGCTTCTAGTAATCACTTTGTTCATTTGAAGTAGTCACAAATCCTCCACTTGATTATCTTTTCCAGAATTTTTGCTAGTATTGATGCCAAGTTGATTGGCTTATAATTTCCTGGATGTATTTCTCCCTTTTTGTAGATTGATAGATACAGATAGATAGGTGCATTAATAATCCTATATAGCATTATGGGTGTTCTTGGTAAATCAATGGTTGCCTTTTATAAACTGAATACTGTCATGGTAAACTATATATTTTTAGATGACACATTACTCTGGTGGAATTGGTGGATTAACTAAAAATGAATCTGAGTTTTCAATAGTTAGATTGCTGAATTCTACTTGGAAGGCTTATCTCAGTTCAGAATGCTTCTTGCAACCAGGGCTAAATTTGAAAAGCTGGAGTTTTACATCATAGGACATCAATGGGAATTTGCACACTACTACATACTGTATAAAGTAAACCGCTGAATGTTGTCCTATCCAGGGAGCTTATTGGTTTATCTAAATAGAGGCTTCAAAACTTTCTGTTCAGGTTGCCAATTTCTCTCTCGATAATTCTAGTATTTCCTATCACTTAGCACTCATTCATTCTCTTGACTAATAGTTACTTACAGCTTTGAGAAAACCTATTAATCCTAGAGTTGGATATTCTCCAAAAGAATGTGATAACAGCAGAAGTGTAGGGTGATATAAAGCCACCAAGAGCCTCTCAAAACTGACACAGATTTACTGATGGTGTTCTAGTCCATGGTGAAGCTGGGTTGAGGACTTCTTTCCACTCCACTGCTTTGTTAGGAATGTAATAATATTGTCTGTTTTAAATTCTTTGTTTTTCTATGTTCTTTTAAACACGAAAGAGTGCTTTTAAGTTTATCAAAATCTTAGCCACTTCAAGCACATAGTGTTTCTTCTGGCAGAATCTCTCCCAGATACTAAATAATTCACATCCCTTTTATTGGCTAGCTTGTTCCTCCTATTCAGGAGATTTTAGAGCTTCTAAGTGCTCAAATAGTGGGCATGGAGATATTCTTTGGAACAGAATGTTCTCAAGTTTTTCCTCCTTCATTCAACAAAGAGAAGAAGGAAAAGAAGACATGAGACAAATGCTTGCTAAAAATATCACCACATCAGCTACTATGATATTCTTAATACTTATAAAATTCAAGTATTTTATTTCTGCTACTGTTCAAGCAATGGCACAATTTAATTTCTATTTCCTATATTATAAATAA